CATAATACAGACAAATTAGCCGTAGGTTCTGATCGGTCTCCATTAATTATTTTTAAGCTTTGCATGTGTTTCTAAAAGTACACAAAAATCTCCACCTAATATGCCCGCCTTCTCCAACTTAGCAAGCACTAATTAATTTATTAGTATATCTTATCCTACATGATGATTTATAATTATATTATTATCAATTCCCAAGTCTAGATCACCACCTAATTATTAAAATCTAGTAATCTACTTGTAACTTGTAAGATGAACCTTTTACTTTGAAATCATATTAAATATATACACTAATTAATTATGTTTGGGTCTTCCTACGTTAGTTCATCTATTTTCTTAAGGAGTCTAACCTTTATCTATCTTCGTGTTTTCTTTAGTTACACGTTGCTTTAGTCCGGTCGTTACGTCTATGTAATGTCTCTTCAGAAAACCCAAATTCATTTTCTGTCATATACCAAAAGTGTCCACGAAACAAAGTCATACTCGTATGTTGACTTTGACGTTTCTGCAAATCGAAATGCCCTGAAAGACTTCCACTTTTGCAAATCAAGTAATCAATTACCAATTTATTTGTCGAATAAAGTGTTCAATAATTTACGAAATAGAAAACATTTTACGACCTTTTCCTGAAATTATCTATTGCGGTACATCTAAGGGTCAATCGATATGGTCTGGTATATGATTATTTATTTATTTTAACCCATGTATGAAATAGGTATTTGAAGCCAATCATATTGCTAAATAAACGGAGTAATCCTGATACATCACGGATTAGGCCGCAGAACTTTAAACTTTTACATGTTAACTAAAGTAATGTCACAAAAAGTATTATATTTTTTTTTCGGATACATGTACATGTGAAATGTGAATACAAGATATACATTCACTATACACAAAATGTAAAAAATATCATTTAATATATTGTTTATGATATGTATTTTTGAGTCTGTTTCTATTAAAAGCTCACGGTTCAACCTGACTAACCCTCAAATTAGACGGATCAGATTAAAATATTCTAACAAATTTGACCCGTGAAGTCGTGAACTTCAAGAACCGAATTGACCTAATCTACCATACGTTGAACCCGTGATAGACCGAGCCCGGGTGGATCAATCTGATTGACACATACTAGTAGTTGGTGCCGATAAGGATGGACCAATTTGATTTTTCTACACTTTTTTATCTTTTCTTTCTTTCTTACACTTTCTCCTCGCATTTTCCCCTCTTTTATATAATATGATATAGATGTCATTATCGGTTATGCAAGTATACGTAACACATAGCATATAAAACAAACAAAAGAATGAAAAGCTTAACTGTAATAAGGACAATATAGACAAAGAAGAACAAAATTGGTTGAAAAAACCTATGGAGCAACTTATCCGCGACGTGAAGGAATCTAATAAAAAATATGTTTATATTAAAAAAAATCTTACAACACTTTAAAAATTCTGAAGACATTTGACGACAATATAAATTATACATAACATATAAGATTACAATTCAGACTAGTGGTATATTTTGTTTTTTAGTAAACCCTTTAATGAAAAAAAAAAAGTGTATATTTATTCATCTTGTCACGTTTTCTTCAAAGCATGAACTCGGCCATCGACGTCTCCATCTATCTTGTTCGTTTGTCTAACTTAGAAAATCAATATTTATTATATAGAAGATAAATTTAAATGGAATATGAAAATGTATAATGGGACAAATAAGTCTATTCTAAAATGATAAAAAGCTCTGCGAAAGTTAAGATAGTGATGATGTTAGGCGTAGTGTCTGACATTGGAGCAAAATCGAGAATTAGACAACCGAATATGTCGACAAAATATAGATACAAACGTAAATGAGAGAGAGAGGGAAAACAAAAAAGACAACCGAGGATGTCTATTTCTACGAGTTTGGTAACTTTGGTTTACCCCCCAAACTTATGTTTTCTCAACATTATTCGTATTACTTAAATAGAAGCTAGTCTCATTCTGGTCTCATAAAAAAAAAATTAACATCTATGGAAGAAGAAGTATTTATTCACAACTACTTCGTTGTTAAATTCAAAAAAAAATCTATGATATAGTGAAACCGAAACCCAGCGCAACTTGTTAAAATGCTAAGAACATCTTCATAGTTATATAATGTTATATTCATAAAATCTATGTTATAACTAATCTAAAATTTCACATATACATACATCTTGATGGTTGAATTTAATATCAAACACATATATTAAAGGTGTAAACAGTAGGCTGTTCAAAAAAAAAAAAAAAAAAAAAAAAAAAAGGTGTAAACAGTAGTAATGCATTAGAAGATGCTATGAATTAAGCTTGATACATTAAGATTCGTATCATGATAACGTTTAGTGGATAAAAACATATTTAAGAGTGAAACAGAGATAGACACGCATGACTGTAAGAAAATAAAGACTTTTCTTTTCGTGTGGTCGACCTGTCCCACACCGAAGAAATCACTTACTTATGACAACACCTACTTGTCCGTACTATAAACACTATCGAATGATTCTGATTTTCTCTTTCCACTTTTTTATTTATATATTAATACGGAAATTAAATAATAGTAATAAATTAAAAAGCGACGCGAGACGACAAGTCAAGAAGCAAACAAAATGGTGGTACCGAAACAATTTATTTTTTTAATTGTAATTTTACGAACAAAAATGAAACAGAAAGGTTCTCTTGGTCCCACTTAGACGTGGCCTCAATTTTCACATCATGGACCCACACGTTTCGCACGTGCAACTTTACTATACTTGCGGTGAATATTTTTAGTAATAAATAAATAAAAAACCATGGCTGTTCATTTTTACAGTTATGGTTAATTGGCTATTGTCGTTTGCGTTTTGACAACTGATTTGACAAACAGTCACATTTATTAAACAAATTTGAATCTGACGTTTTTAAAATAATTTGAGTTGTGTTTTATTAAGATTCAGTTCTCCAATTCGTCAGTTTGATTGATAAATATGTTATAATTTTTGTTAAAGCAATACTGTTTTGTGCCTTTTCGTTTACTCTTTTTAAGAAAAATAATTCTCGAACCAAAATGTTAATCACCGCAAAAAAAGTTTGAAGTGATGATAGCTCACGGAAAAAAGTAAAAATACGTAACCCTTTATTAAAAAAAATATTTATAAAAACGCACGGTCATGAGTCTCATGGAGTTAAATAACCTAAGAGTTAGGTGAAATATATTTCAAGGTTTCACCAAATTGCAGATGGTTTAAAATTTTAAATCAGACAAAACTGAAAAATGAAAATGTACAAATTAAATAGTCCTTAAATATGAAATCAAACTACAGTTATCACAAAAAAGGGAAAATTAACAAGATATATTTGGGTTGACTGAAAAAGAGACTAAAATGGAATTAATGTAGTCACAATGCAATGAATGGATTAACATATTTGATTGGGAAAACAGCTTTATATATAGATAGATGCTCTTCTTTTTGTGCAAGAGATATAAGGTCTAAATGGTAACCGCTGAATGTTGCTGAATGCGGAATCTGGCTGAATTAAATGAAAACTTTTTGCGGAATCTGGCTGATTAGTTAATAGTATGAATGGTAACTGCTGAATGTTGCTGAATGCGGAATAAAAAAAAACAATTTGTTTTTAAACTTGAAAATTCAAACAAAAATATTGGTATTAAATATTATATATATATGATTAACCTTATGAAATATAAACAGAATTTATCTTAACAAAACAACAATATTTTATTACACTTAAATCATTTACTCACAAATCATTTAAATTTTAAATAGATGGGTGATTTGGTTTAATATTATAAACTTTTTTATAATTTAAAAATAATTCATGTTTTCAAATTTTTAAAGTCTCTAGTGTATAAAAATATAAAAAATATTATTTGTATAACAAAATAATAAAATAATTACCCAGTTGAATTATGAAAAAACATATACTTATGAAATAAGTAAATACCTAACAATAGTCACATCATAAAAAAAAATTATATATATAACTGAAGAATTTTGTGTCATTATAGTTTACTAAACCTAAAAAATAAATTATGTATTTTCGTTTTAATTTTAGCAATTTATTAATTTTAGCATTTTTAAAGCAAATTTAGCAATTTTAACATCATAAGTAATATTTCAATCATGATATTAGTTTTTTCAATTTATCTACAAAAAGTAAAAGTTGTGTTTTTGTCTTTTTATGGGAAATCTTAATAATTGAAGAAAAAAAAATTCTTCAATTTTTGTCTTTTTGTGAGATTTTCAGCTGCATTCAACAAATGTGACTGGTGTCTTATAAACAGTATTCAGCTGAATTCAGCTGCATTCAGCAATTCAGCAATACACCAGGGCCATATTCTCTTCTTATTACTGTATCCATTTTAAAGTTTTTAGAAATAATACAAAAGAAGATTTTATTATTAAAATGGTGCTTTGACTAGTCAAGCAATACACTGTTACATACGTTTGTGTGGCTGTTGCTAAGGAAACATACATGATGAGTGCATCAAGAAGAAAAGGAAATGTTACAAAATACAACACAACAAAATTACTTTTCACAGACCTGATGCCCAATATTGTGAATTTCAAGGAAGATAGTATCTACACATATATACAGAATATATTGCTGTCTCTATATAAATGCATTTGAGTAAATATTCTTTTTAAGCTCATAAAATTATATCATTTTTTCCCAAAAATACTATTTTATTAACATTAAATTCAGTAAAACCTCAAAAACATACCAGACAAATATGGTAATTCTAGTCATAAGAAAATTATATTTCCTTATAGCTGATAATTGTTTCCAAGAAACTAAATATATAAATAATTACTCAGAATAGAAACATAAAATATTTATTTATAGAAAATTAAATAATTTGACTTTTTCTCTCTCTTAAATAAAAGCCAATCCCCATAGATTTCTTCACCAGTCGCCACAACTCTCCTCCTCCTTCTCTTTCTCTCTCTCTTTGTTCAGAGTCTCTCGGAGCTTTTAACAAACGTATCAATGGCTATTGAATCTCGGCACATGAACATTTTCTCTCCTCAGTTACCAACAAGGTAAGAAATCCTCCAAAAAAGGATTTTAATTTTCTTCTCTTTTTTTTCTTTCCATTTCCAAGCTATTTATGAATAACTCTCTCAGAGGTATTGATTTTCGCTATTTTTATCTGCAGAGATTGTGTTAAAATACAACACCACATGAATCACGGCGACTTTAATCTCGCCGCCGGCGAAGTTCCGTTCATAAACGGAGAATCTCTCGCCGCCGATCCTTTAGCTATTGCCGCTACGAAAGCGAACTTCAACAAATCAGAAAGTGGTCTCACTTACAATTTCAATCCCTCCTCTGTTTTTCCTCCGTCCACGAAACGCCCCCGAGAATCTCAGTTCTGCGACTTGGACGCTCAATTCGTGTCTGCAGTCAAACGCAGGCCCGTCGCGTTTGGTCCCTCCTCGTTGTTAAACGCCGATCTCGTGTCTCAGATCCAAAACCAGCAACAGTCGGAGATCGACCGGTTCGTTGCTCAGCAAACGGAGAAGCTTAGAATGGAGATTGAAGCTAGGCAACGAACGCAAACGCAGATGCTGGCGTCAGCGGTTCAAAACGTGATAGCCAAGAAACTGAAAGAGAAAGACGACGAAATCGTACGGATAAGAAACCTTAATTGGGTTTTGCAAGAGAGAGTGAAGAGTCTCTACGTCGAGAGTCAAATATGGCGTGACATCGCTCAAACCAACGAAGCAAACGCTAACAATCTCCGAACAAACCTCGACCAAGTTCTTGCTCAAATCGAAACGTTCCCAACCGCTTCCACCGCTGTAGAAGAAGATGTGGAATCGAGCTGCGGAAGTTGCTGCGACGGCGATGGTGGTGAAGCGAACAAGGCGGTTAGTGGCGGTTGCAAGCGGTGCGGTGAGAGAGAAGCGAGTGTGTTGGTGTTACCTTGTCGTCATTTGTGTTTGTGTACGGTCTGTGGTTCGGCTTTGTTACGAACTTGTCCGGTTTGCGATTCGGTCATGAACGCTAGTGTACATGTTAACATGTCTTCTTGACCATTTTCTTTTCGTTCTGGTACAATTAAATTTGTCTTTTTGGTTCTTTAGAAATTTTAATTAAGAAATAGGACTTTTTTTTTTAAAGCCAAATGATTCTTTTATTTTTGTAATTATAGTACTTTGCTTTTATCTCTTATAAATAGGTTTTCTTTTGCTTGATTCTTGATTTTCTTACGATGGATCCAAGACTGGGAAATTGCAAAATTGACGTCGAAAAGAGAAGTTTGAAAACTCACAAAAACGCTCCTCTCATTATGTATCGGGAAAAGATAAAAATTTGTATGGAGAAAAAAGAAAGAAAACTTCTTAAAACGGAAGTAAAGAAATATTCCTAATTTTTTGAAATGTACTAAAAAAATGTTTGCAATTAAGTTGCACCGTAGGTTGGTTACTTTATCCTAAAATATCTATAACATTTTAATTTACATGACATTTTATTCCTTTTAGATAGATTTCCAGAACGTCAAGATAAATTGAAAAATTAGAAAGGTTGTCTCTAGATATAATGTTTAATACTAATGCAATTTGGTAGTATCCTATCTTTTATCTTTCCAGCCCCACAAAACATATGAAAACAAGAAGAATCGCATTTCGCTATCGAAACTAGAATGCATGATTTTTAAAAAGAAAAATAATTAGTCTGAATTCGATTGCCTCAACGACATTTTCAGTTCATGGTCATTATAGTTGTCTTGTCGTGTAATAAGTATTTCAAATTCGGATTATATCATGTGCAAGTGCATGTCTAGACAAATGCAAAAACCCCACTAAAATGGATTTTAAAATTATATACTGTAGTATATAAAACCAAATTGTGGACAGTACCAAAAAATAGTATATTAAAGCAAATTAGAACGATGAATACGATGTGTGAATTCACGAGTTACGATGTTGCGTCCAAGAAACGTTACCGTGTCTCTATCCAATTTTTATTTTTCCCCCCTTCAAATTTGGACTACGCTAAGGAAATAAATATATTACTGATAAAAACAAAAAAAATACTAAAGTTGATGAAAATGGCACGTAGATAAATAGTGGCCAAAATGAAAATGGTACGACTCTGAGAAGGTTCGTACATATAAATCACATTTTCTCTCTGTCTTCGCTCTTTCACTGTTGTCCCCACACTAACTTTTTATTGGCCATGCTCTTACAGATCTACTCATCAAAAATTCTATGTAATAATCAGCTAACCCTGTTTTCTACTATTTTTTTAGGCCAATAAAAGATTTAGGATGCATGATCCGAACAATGGAAAACCAATGAAAAGGAGAGCCATTTTTGTGTTCACTAGAACAGACGTGGGATAGTCAGAAGAAACAAGATTGATGATTAATGATTGTAATCTAACTACAACTCTACAAGAATTATTTATAGGAAAAAAGTAAGAGTTTTGGTTATCGCTAGCGAGTAAAACTTATTGAGAGAAAACATCATGTAATTTTGTTTCTTAATTCTATCGTTGTCTGTAAATAAGATGTCGTTTTGAAACAAAGAAAGATTAGATGTTGAAGAAAAATCAAAGACAATTGCATTACCTAGCCTAGCTTAAACTAGAGATCCGATCATCAGAATAACACAGTTATCGTTTTAAACAAAGAAAGTTTAGATGTTGAAGAAAAATCAAAGACAATTGCATTACGAAGCCCATCTTAAACTAGAGGATCCGATCATCAGAATAACACAAAACAAAATCCACAATAGATGTATTCATGTTCTAATTACTGGCCCACAGCTTTGTGAAAACTAGAATTACAAAATCTTTTTTTGCGCAAGATTGTAATCATTTTAGAAATATGAAAATTTAACATCATTTTTTTTCCTACTCGTTAATTCGTTATTCTACGTATCCTAAAAAGATGAGATCAGAAGATTAGTTTCAGATCATATAAAAGAAAACGAACAAATTATACAACAAATAAATTTAAGGTAAAGGAGAAGAGACATCGTAATTCGTAGATGGCGCTGGCATCACCTGCGGCGACGATGGCATCTTTAGGAAGTACTTCTAGGGTTAGGGTTTTCATGTTTTAATAGCCGATGACATTAAAAGATGATAGGATATTAAAACGATGCTTAAAGTTATTAGGATTTTATTGGTTGTGTCTGTAGCTTTAGATTTTTTGGTGTAGATTTTTTTTGATATGAGTGTAGATTATAGTGTTGTAGAAATTTTTATCATAAATAATTTCTTATAAAATATCATAAATGTAACATTAAAAATAAATAAAAGAAATATAGGAAAGAAATATTAAAAAAAAGAATACAGAGAGTGAGATTAAGGAATGAGAAGAGAGAGAATTCTCAGAGCCCTTAAATTTGTGCTATGGAAAATCTGCTCTGCAGAGCCAAAACATTTCTATATTTAAAATTATGGCTTTGAACTTAAAAAATGAAATCAGAGCATGATTGGTTTAACACTAGTGCTCTAGAAATAATTATTGCTCTACAGAGTACTCAGAGCACTTACCAATCACGCCCATGATTAGTGGTTGATTAATTAATTAATGCGAAAATAAGAACCGAAAGAAGATGGTAAAACCTAAAAAAAAAACAGAAAGAAGATGACTGTAGCCTTGTAGGGTTTATATATACGTTTGTATAAAGTGTTATCACAACTAGGATTTCGCCTTGATTTTCTTTATTTTTGCTAAGTGCAAATTTTGTTTCGAGACACCATGTTCCGCTTCATAAATTTGCCATAAATACGAAATTGATGTAAAATATACAAATCTAAATAAAATTGTATTTTATCACGTAATTTAAAAATACAATTAAATATTTCTCATTATTAACTAAATAATACAAAATAGAACTTATAAAATTATATTAATTCATACATAAAAAAACAAATCGCGCAATGCTGCGCAGATCAATATCTAGTGTTCTTTAAAATGTGAATAGATATTACCAATAAGTATATGTAAGGCAGAAACAAAAAAAGAAAATAATAGAGGAACGAGACTTAAACCTAAAACGGTTTTAGTTCGACAAAGAAATTCATGTGACTTCAATTCCACATTACTATCTGCAGAATTAGTTAAGCCCATTTGGCAATGATCGACATGCCAGCGCACCCCAAAAGAGCCGCAAGTAAACACTTGATCTGCATTTTGATGCTACCTTGAAGCTTTGGTCCCATGAACTCGGCAGCTAGAAGGTCGACAAGCGCCATGTAAATGAGCAATCCCGCAGAGCATGCATTGAGCAACCCAACAGTGATCAGTGCCGTGGGACTATTTTCTCTGTAAACGGTCGAAAGAGCGATCCCTAATGCTATTCCAAAAGGCATTGCTACCGCAAAAAAGAAGGCCATGACAAACTTTTTCATGTTCGTATACTCAGCCTGAAATATCTCAAAACATTAGTTTTTTTTTTTTTTAAATATATATTCCTTTTTTTTTTGTGCAAAAGGAATATCGTTTTAGTTGTCATTCTAAAAAAATTCCACGCAAATATATATATTTTTTCTCTTATATCCTTAAAACCAAGTTGACTTTTAGTAAACTTTGTTAGAACTAAGATTAAATTAGGCATTTAACAATAAAAATTACGGTGAAAAAGGAAACATGACAATTAAGTGTAGTAGACAACTAAAAGCAACAAATGGAGTAAACAATTTAAAAAAATTTGACGAAAGATTTTTTTTTTTTTTTTAATTCTATATATACCTGGAGAATGGAACCGCCAAGACCCATGCCTTCGAACATTTGATGGAAACAAAGAGCTGCGATGAGTCCTTTAATGGTGCAAGTGTTATTTGTTGCTCCTACGGATAGTCCAATGACGACAGAGTGAACTATGATTCCAAGTTCGAGTACCTATATATTCATAAGATTTTAATATTCGTTGCTTTCTTATTTTAAATGGTATTGTCGGTTATATTCGGTTTCTAAGACCTTCAGATGTACTAACCATAGCAATGACTCGATATTGCAAGAGTTGTGCTTTCGCGGAATCATCTTCTTTTATTGGTAGGGAAGCATCATTTGCGGGTTCATGACCATGATCAGGACCATTTTCTAAGATGCCAACTGCGTTCTTGGTAGTATAGAGGCTTGTAGCCATGGCATCGATGGCTAGAGTCACTAGACAGGACAACATAGCGATAAATCCGGAGAAGGGAAATTTGTGCCACGGGTTCTCTTCAAGACATTTAGATGACAACATCATGAAAGCATCAGGCAAAACGTGTATAAAGCCGGTTCCGAGGATAATCCCTGAGGCGAAACACTTAACGATGGTGAAAATGTTCCTGTCGGGTTGAAGAAACGGCACGGAGCGGGTAAAAAGAGGAGCTCCAACACCAATCATGCTTGCAACTAGGATTGTGGCAATGGCTATAATTTTTAGAGGCAAAGCTTTAGCTTTGTTGACGCACGGGTTCGCTGACTCGCTTGCACATTCATCCAGCGCCGTTGAAGTTGCAGGAGAGATTGTAAAAGAGACAAAGATGAGTACGAGGAAGATTATTTTTATGAGAAGTGTTGAAGTTGAAGCCATTTTGTTTTTTTTGTTTCTCTTTTCTTTTGGAGTTTTACGTCTTGGGTTGTGTAATGTTTGTGTCTTTGGACATACTGGATGAATCGGTTTATACAGAAATGTGTGCCCGTTGGTTTCATGTCATTCATTGTCGCTGATGACGAAAATTATTGATTACTAGAACTAGTTGATAGGTGGAACACGTTGTTTTCATGTCATTCATTGTCGCTGATGACGAAAATTATTGATTACTATAAGTACTTTATGTCGCTGATGACGAAAATTATTGATTACGAGAAGTACTTTATATGTGGAACGAGAAATTAAAACCTATGTTGCATAGCCGCGGTTTCCGTTTTCGAAAAGTTTACAAAAGGAAAATCTCAGAAATTTTTGGAAACTTGTTAATTTTAGGTTTTCTAAAATTTTCAATTTGGAAACTCGATCGAAATGCATGTTTTTAAAATTGACAGAAACTTATTTCTTGTTTTTTTTCAAAATAAAACTGGATGCGCAACATAGTTGCCATACATAAGATAATTATAACACACATGTTTGAGACATTTTTGACATGCTTGTAGTTTTTAAAGCACTTTTACTTTTAACCAATTTTCTTAATCTTATTTAATTAGCTGTTCAAAATAAAAATCTTATTTAATTTGATATTTCCGTTTCTTGCAAAATTTAATAAAACAAAAAATTAAGAGCAGAATCAAGTAAAATCAGACAATGACATTGGATAAGAGATAAATAAATACTTGTCCACAGAAAAAAAGTTTATTTTCCAACATACAGTAGAACCTCTGTAAAGGAATTCCATCCAGATATATCCACTTTTCTTTCAGATACATTTTGCCCAACTGCTTATATATAATATGGGACAGAGGGAGTATGAGATAATAAATTTTTCCAGTCCCAACTCGGGCCAATATAAAAAATAGCAAAATGTAATAAGATAATAAGATAATAATATTTTTGAAACTACTATTTAAAAATATAGTCCCAACAATAAACTGAAATAATAATTATAAAAAATAGGTATATATATCTAAGGTAATTTATAAAATATGACTTCAATATAGTTTGTCTTTTCTGAAAGTTAGATTCTCGTTGTAGCTCATCTCGAATTTTTCTTATTGCATTAAAGAAAAATAGAAAATTAAATAATATGAAATATGTAAATAACAAAGTATAAGGAAATTTTGAATTAAAAACTGAAAAAAAAATATATTTCTATATTTTTTTTTTGTTTTTGATATAATATTTCTATAAAATAATAATTATTATGTTATCGATAAAATAATAATTCTATAAGATAAAAAAAATTTCAAAGTTTCAACATTATTATTTTATAGAGGTTTTACTGTAAAAGTAGGTAGAATTTATATTGTTTTATTTACGTTTTGTCACGTCGGAGAGTTTGGCCCGTCCTGCTTCATGCTCGTCCATTCCTGCTTTAGTCTTGAAATTCTTAGCAATCAAAGATGGGTCTTTGCTTTCTCCAGTTGGTTTATGTCCGATTGTGATTGTCTCTTTTTTTTTCACGCAGAAGGCAAAGGCAATTCAGACCAGAAAAAAAGTTTTTTGGCTACTCAGTTAATTAATTATTCAAAATGGCTATAAGCTTTATTACATGGTCCAATATAGCCATCCTCCTAATTCCCCTTTCAAATACTGTCCAATTATTAATGACATACATAATGGTCAACTTCGGTTATAAATGTTAAAAAATAAAACAAATAAATAGAGTGAAATAAGGAATTTGCACACAAAAAACGAATAGATAAATAATCAAGGCATCAAACTGGATTTGTAATATTATTTGATTGAGTGGTTTAGTTCCTACGTTTTCATATGGTTGGAGTGGACGAGCACGAAGCACGTGCCAAACTCATACTCAATATTGGATATCCTTTGATCAGATAACACCTAAATTACAGAGTTAAAGAAAAAAAGAAAGGACACATTGTTGATTGAGTTTCAACTTTCAATAGGAAGCAGATGGAACACAATGTGATTTCCAGAGTTAACGGGGAAAAAAAAAGAACGCTTGAATCCAACATCAAAGAAATTACACAAAGAATGATATGTTTTAATATATATATATACATATATGTCTGCATGGCAAGGTTTAACCATCACTTGATTACCTTGATTTTCCTTACTCTTTTCACTAAAGCATCACGTGTACATTTTGCAGCCATTCTGTTACTGTTTTGATATGGTCTCAGACTCTCTAGTACTAACTTTTTTTTTGCTGAAGCTTCAGATTTCATTACAAAAGCTCAATATTCTCTCGTTCCCAGTTTACAATCTGATTGAAGGGGTTAACCATCTCTGTTTAGCTTTAATATTTTTCAATCATATCAAGATCAACATCAGGATAAAGTAGGAAATCAGTTGGTCTCTTGTATTGATAAGCTCTTGACCTTCTCTTATGACAAAGAGTTTGTTCTTTCTCTGTGTGACTTAAGCTAGCCAATTAATGTTTCCACAATATCTAGCGTCGAACTTCCTTAACGGGCCCTTGTATTTAAGAGTCTGGAGCCAATAAAGAAAATGAAAAACATAATGAGTTCACAGAACTTCAGAGGAATGAGGCGAAAAATAACACACGTCATGAGAATTGTGAAGAAGATCACGTCATGAGATATGATATTGAAAGACCCAAATCGAATAGTGGCATCAATCAACATAAAAATCACCACAATCGATCTAAACCTGCCATTTCCCCTTCTTAAAGAGCATTAATGACCTGAAGACCTCAACTGCTCTGTCCACTAGTCCCAGCTTGCAAAGAGAAATAATGAACAGATTAAAACTCAACCCGTTTGGGGAAATGTTCATGTTCATGTTGGAATGTACAACATAATCATGAAAATCCAATCCTTGGTGATAAAGACCCTCTTTTCTGATCACAGTCAGGACAGAGTTAAAGGACTTGCAGTGAAACTCATCGACCATTCTATGAAACAACTCAACGGCTTTCTCAGGCAAATGTGCTCTCTCATAAGCCCTAAATACAAAAGTAAAGCTACACCCTCTAATCATTCTGTTCTCTAAATACAAAAGTAAATATACGGATAGGAATTGGGCATTTGGGCATGAACTCGGACGGTTTTTGCTGCTTAAACCCTGATTTGGGGGATTCGAATGGTTGATGTTTTTGCTTAAGCCCTCTTTGTTTCAGCTTTGAAAGAGATTTGTTGTAATGATGCTTCACTTCAATTAATGTTGCAACTTGCAAATGAAGACACAAGGACATCGCAATATCAAAAGTCCAACAACATGAAATCCAAGCCTAACGCGCTCCTCATCGCGTCCACTCTCGTTCTCTACTGGATTCTTTACAACGTCAGGAATCTGGTCGTCAGGATCGAGCAGCTTAACCAGCGTATCAAAAGGTCAAGTAATTCACGAGTGTATACGATGATCACGTCCAAGAAACGATTGCATGTCTCTATCCAATAATACAATTCACATCTAAAACTCATGTAATAAAAAGGGAATTAACAATGATGATTTTACCTGACCCACTCCTTCTACACGTACAATAATGTCCTGGCAAATATAGTTGAAATTGTCACATTTTTTAAAGTGTATGGAAAAGTAGAATTGTTCAGTATAAATCAAGACAACTTACAACAGTTCTTGTCGGTGTTTCATTACTCAAAATTACATCTTCTTTGGGAGGGAATCGGTATTTTCTTGCTGGTGTAAGCCTTCTGAACTGGTTTTGTACCTCAGGTCCTCAGTGACAAATGAGCTACCATCTAGTTCTTGCAAGCGCATTGAAAGATTGCTCCTCCTAACAAACGCTGAGGCATCTTGGATTGTACAATCCAAAATGGAAAGTAGTCGATTTGATCTGCACAGTTGTCTTTCATTTACTTTTTTTGTTCTCCTATGAAAGATAATTAACCATATCGGATCAACTATTGTATTTTTTTGTTCTTGTTTTGGGAATATAGGGCCGGTTTTAGCAAGTGATTTTCAACTTTGAAGTTTGAAGAGACGAAATTACTCACAAATGCTTATATACGATACATTTTGCTTACAAACAGATCATATTAGTATTTGCAAATCAATTTTTGTGAATGGAGCCACCACGTTAACTCTTAGCCGCGGAATTACCGAGATGCCCTTAATGAAAATCTTTCAATTAAATCTTCGAATTTTTCCTTTTTTATTAAAAACGAATTTGATTATTGACTTTTAATATTTTTAGATAAATATGTTAACTACCATATCCCCGCCTTATTTTTGGAAGATATTATAAATTTTAGGAAGATAAATAATAAGTAAACCCTAAGATTCTTAACTGACCCTATATTATATAAACTAGTAGAGTACCCGCACGTTTGTGCGGTGTGACGTTGTTGTTTTGTGTAGAAAATTTAAACCCTAAATCCGAACCCGACAAAAAACCCTAATCAAAAAATTTAAAAACCCAAACTTTTTTAATAGGTCTAAACATGAAAATCCGAAATAAAAAAAAAAACCCTGACTGAACAAAAAAAATCTGGAAACTTTTTCACCCGGAACCCGACCCCAATACCTAATCAAAATTTTAAAATACTCAATTTTTTTAATATATCTAAACCCGAAAACCAGAAATCTAAAAAATCCGGAAAACCCTAAACTGAAAAAAAAATTGAACCTAACCCGAACAGAAATTTTCAAAGAAACCCGAACAATTTCTATATCTCTATATATATCTCTATAAAATTATGTCTCAGATTTTCACCCAAACCCGAACTTGTCTATAAAAACCCGAAAATCCAAAAAGCATATTCTATTGATTTGGAATTATCGTTAGATTATGTTAAGTTTTTTTTTTGCAGATTTTTAAGAGATGGAAAACGGAAGTTTTCTAAACCATCGGTTTATTTTAAGTTATTATTCTTGTATCCAAACAATTTTTTCCATTTATTCTTCTATCCAAATAGATTTTTCTCTTATTCTTATATCCAAACAACTTTTGTTTCCATTTATTCTTCTATCCAAATAGATGTTTCTCTAATTCTTGTATCCAAACATTAGAATGTACTTCTCAATTAATAATATAAAGATAGATACGATCTTGGAAAAACAACACAATTTTCATTACGATTTGCAATTTGTCTTTCAATACGTAATTTTAGTTCTTAGATCTCATATTTCTTCTTCACATGTACCTTAATTGTTTTAGTTCGATCTTAGTTCTAATAAAACTATTTATGAACTGATTATTTGTTATTTTCTGTCAATATCATCTATTGATCCGCTTCTAACTACTTCCTCTCTCACTTTTGTAACAGAAAATTCATTATTTGTAAGCTGATGGAATAGAAGTTCATATATGGTCCCAAGCCAGAAGTATTCTTCCCCAAAAATAGAGGGTATGAACATCTTTTCTTTTATATATCAACTTAATATTCATGAAACCCTAATTCTAATGATGAGAGTATAACGTTTTCTGTTTTTTTTTTTTTTAATTTTAGTTTCTTCAATGAAGCTGGAGGAATGGAATTGGCGGAGCCTGGAAAGAAGAATGATTTCGGGAGCATATTAGCAGGTACAAAGATTTGGTTGAATCTTGAGATCATGAGAGGCCGTACCACATGATGTGCATGTGGCTTTGGATTGATTGTCTTTGCAGATCCTTATGTTGTTGTAGAGAGAATGATCATGAAGAAACAAATCATTGATGGCCGATCGGTTAATATTCTAAAACTCATCAAAAATCCTTCATCAATCTCTGTAACATATGATGTAACCTTTTGTTTTTTTTTTCTTACTTGCGCAGTAAGCTTTCTTTAGTAGGACAAGACGATTTTTGAGTTCCTGTTTCGTCTACTAAAGGAGAGAGAACCTTATTCTGAATTCTTCTTACTTTTGGAGAGTCGAGTCAATTAAAGAAAAGAGAAACACTACGAAGAGGTAATGATTCAATGAGAAGATATTTCCTGATGCTAACATGTGGCCAAATTACGATGAAATTGAGGATGAAGAAGATGACAAAGAAGAAATACAATATTTATTCACAGTCTCCTCGACTCTCTTCTTTTATTTTATCAGTTTCATCTTTCTTCATGTAAGAAGAAATACAAGAAGAAAGATGAAACTAATAAAATAAGATGTTGCAAAAATGAAAAGGATTGATAACACAAAATGATAAAGAGTACAAAATGAAATAAGAAGAAAAGACTGAATAAAAACAAGGAAAAGATGAAAGTTGGAAGACAAAGACGGAAAAAACAAAAGAAACAGAACAAAAGAAGAAAATATTTGAAGAATATGTGAACAATAAAGAAGTTGAAAAAAAATCAAAAGATAAAAAAAACGAAGAATAAGAACACAAAGACAGTTGAAAAACAAATTGTAAATAAAAGGAAGAAAACTGATAAAAAGCAGGAAATAATAAGATGACGATGAAGAGAAAATTAAAAGAGAATAGAAAGTTTGATAAGAATAAGAAAAAAAATAGTAGAAAATGAAGAAAAAATATGAAGTAAAAGACAAATTAAAATAAAAAGATAAAATAGGGTTGAGGTTTATGATGTACGGTTTATACTGATGGGCGTAAAATTTAGTTGTTGATGCATTTAAAAAAATTTGAATACACTAAATTACCGATATAAAAAAACTTATGTTAAAAATAAAATAAAAGTAAATATAGAACCAATTTCTAAAATGTGGGTTCGGGTGTACAGATTGGCGGGAGGGGGGACCGGGGGCGGAGGGTGTTACACTATGGTGTTTGGGTTGTTTAGGGGGTGGTGTTACACTGTAGGGTTTGGGTTTAGGATGTAGGATTTATATTGATGGGTGTAGGGTTTAGTTTTTGGTGCATTTTAAAAACTTAAATTATTATAGAAGAATTTCATTATAGAAAATCATTTATTATAAAAAGTTATACTATTTATCTTATTAAAACTTTTAATTAATTAATGTATTTTAAAAATATTGTACCCGCACAAGGTGCGGGACAACCACCTTGTTTACAGTATATGTAATCTGTTTTTTTGGGGTTTTTATGTAGGTTTGATGTTGTCTAATTCGAGTCAATTCCGGTTCAATTAAAATGGACATGCTAGTTGAAATACTCTATGACTTTAGCTGGTGACCATTAAAGGAACAAAAAACGAGAACTAAATGAATAAAAGGAATAAAATATATTGAATTTTATTCCTTTTCTTATTTTATGAGGAATATATTTACACTAAAATTCCTTATCAATATGGAATAAGAACTAATAATAATAATATGGAATACACATTATTTATGAATGGTATAATTATTAGAAAATGAGAATGAACTCTTGTATTCACCTCATTCCTTGATCAGGCCTATATGTTTCTAGATTAGCACCTAATTACTATGAAAGAACTAACTTAATGGTGTTAATTCGGAAACCAAAACTTTAAAGTATACCATTTCAGAAATTTATTAAAAGCAAAAACAAAAAGTGTCTTATTTATTTATATGATTTGCGAAATACATTACACGACAAGAACTATTACCGGAGAAAATATAAGAAACAACAAAAAAGAGTAAAAGACTATGACTCGTGGGACCAATCACATTGTTACATATCTCCCAAAAGACATTTCTTTAGAATGTGATAGATAGTACCACGTAAGTATACTGTAAGGCGAAAAAGATAAACGATAGAGGATCGAGACTTAAACCTAAAACGGTTTTTAGTTCGACAAAGAAATCCACGTGACTTTCATTCCACAGTACTATCCGGGGGATTAGTTAAGCCCATTTGGCGATGATCGACATGCCACCACACCCGAGAAGAGCCGCAAGGAAACACTTGATCTGCATTTTGATGCTACCTTGAAGCTTTGGTCCCATGAATTCGGCTGCTAGAAGGTCGACAAGCGCCATGTAAATGAGCAATCCCGCAGAGCATGCATTGAGCAACCCGACAGTGATCAATGCAGATGGACTGTTTTCTCTGTAAACAGTCGAAAGAGCGATCCCTAATGCTATCCCGAAGGGCGTTGTTACCGCAAAAAAGAAGGCCATAACAAACTTTTTCAAGTTTGTATACTCAGCCTGAAAATATCTCAAAACATTAGATTCTTTTTAAATACAATTTTATACATTGTCCTAATGATATAGTATATATATTTATACTATATATACCTGGAGGATGCAACCGCCAAGACCCATGCCTTCGAACATTTGGTGGAAACAAAGAGCTGCGATGAGTCCTTTAATGGTGCAAGTGTCACTTGTTGCTCCTAGAGATAGTCCAATGACCACCGAATGAACTATGATTCCAAGTTCCAATACCTAAATATTCGTAAGATTTATATACGGTTATTTATTATTTCATCTGTTTCTAAAAACTTGATGTTGTAAGATTTTTGCTTAGATTAAGAAGTAATTAATACATAGCTTTAACTGCATCATTTTTCTTTCACTAGCCACTTTATCATTAATATGAACCAATAACAATTCAACAATATTTTTGG